GCAGACTAAGCTGCTGTCTAGTGTGGCAGCCCTGCAGTTGCAGGGGAAGAAAAGGCAGGATCTCAACTGAACACTGATTGCTTAAAGGAACAGGTGCTCTGCAGAGCTACTGGGAGTTGCAAAGAGCAAGGGAAGCATCCTTTCCTGAGGTACAAATTCATATAGCCTGTATAGGCTCTTACTATGAAAGCTGGACCATTCAGTACTCCATGTGCTAAAAAATGCTACTGAGGATCTTAGCAGGTCTCCTCCTCACTCGGATTTAAAAAAAAAAAAAAAAAAGACATAAGATCACAGACTTGACTGATTTAGCTGTTAATTTGTAAAGGGTAAACCTTCAGGACCCAAGTCTGGGATTCATGTCGGACATACCTACTGTTCTTGCTTCTTTCTTTCTAAAAGTAACTCTGACAGTGGTAGCAGCTGACAGTATAAACGTTACAATTTATAAGGTAATAACGTAGGTTCCTTTAACTTTTAAATCAGACTCGCTTAACATTACTCGTGGCCTTTGGGGAGGAGCCAAGAAAGGAAGGTCAATGAATGGCTGTTCTTTGTCTTTCATAAAGATAGATAAAAGTGCATAGTACAAAAGCAAACGTCGTCTGAGAGAACTCCCTCTGTCTTGTGTCTTTCCTGTAGGTGCTGAAGTTGGAATTAGTACTTCTCGTATCCATGCACGTGGACCAGTAGGAATTGAAGGACTCTTGACTACAAAATGGTTGCTGAGAGGGGACAATCATGTTGTTTCTGACTTCTCAGAGCATGGGAGCATGAAGTATCTTCATGAGAGCCTTCCTCTCCCACAGAGAAATACCAGCTAAGAACGTCTTGGGGGAAACCCAGGAGTGTAAGTGTTTACTGAGGATGTTCAGGCTTCAGGGCACCCTCTGGGGAGGGAGATTGTTCTTCATCTTCAGACACGTTGTTGTTTGTCACTGTGCAGTACGATGAATACAAAATGATCCCATCTGTGAGACTTTTTGCTGCCACTTACTCTGCAAATTACCCTCTTTCTTCGCAGAGGCGGGCTCCTTCGAAACATACAAATGGCACAAGGAAAGGTTTAGATTTCTGTGCATTCTGTTTTTAGTGCTCCCTGTAGTAAAGTATGTGTACAATATGGTTGGTGGGGTACCATAAATTTCTTCTTAAGCCTTTCTGTTCTATGCAAACATCTCCTGTCCTGGAGAACAAACTTGATTGCTTTCTCTTCAGTCTTATGATCTTGGCAGCTCTTGAAGGTCTGAAGCTTTGACGCTTATTTTTCTTTGTATTTGATCATTCTATGAGTAACGGAATAGATCTTCCAAACGCATAGTAATGTTTTGACCAAGAAACCTTTTATATCGCATTTAATTGTTGACTACCGTAGATGAGTATCACAACTGTATATTAGCTGGATTTTCTTACCCATTTGTACTAAATGGCTTTTCTTATTGGTTTTATATGAAACATAATCTCCCCCCACCCCCAACCAAGCAAGACTATTTTAAAGCTGGGTTTTTCTGGATAAAGTTGTTTTTAAAATATCTTAAAGTGTAGAATGTGTAGCGGTTGACACTGCTGTAATTCTCTAAGGCAGCTTCTGCATGCACACTTTGTCAAGTTAACGGAGGCTAGCGTTATGTGTGTTCAGACATTGTTAACGTTGTCACTTTTTACAACCAATAAGTAACTATACATCCCTCAGTGGATGGAGGGGCCTCTACTTCTAAAATGCCAAATAAAAATTCTCAATGCTAAATAGCCAATGCTTTGCCATCCTCACCTAATCTAATCACAACCTCAGTAAGTAGCTTCACCAGCTTCACTGGTTTTTTGGTTTGTTTATTTTGCTTAAATGAGGAGGTGTTTTTAAGTACAATCCGTTCCATGATTTTGGGAACATACGTGGAAATAGTTTGTGCTGCCACTTTTTTTATTCTTGCCTAGTAAATATACCATTTTAATACATGCTGTATGCTATCTGTTGTCTCACTGGATGTCATCTGTGCATAAATGAAGACTCTAAGGTTTTTTTTTACTACTTTAAATGAAGAATAATCAAATGTGACTTGTAGATCAGCCATTGAGTTTTGAGTTATTTTGTGTTGCTGAGTTTCTGAATTGGAGACAGATTAGTTGGTACACGTTAACTCCTCATTTCTCATTTTAATTGCAGAGAGTCGGGACACTTCTCATCTTGGATTTTCACTGAAAGCTACTTTGTGTCATGTTGGTTATAATGGTTACTGTGAATTTTAGAGTGCCAGAAGATTTTTTTTTTTTTGTCTTCAAATACAAACTTGACGGGACTGTGTCTTTTTTAATTTATTATTTTTAGGATGCTCATAAGCCTTATTACAAGCTGCATAGACACTTGAGGGCCATCTGGAATGCAAAGTAAAACCTTAGATTGGGCACAGGTCCCAAGGGCAGTCCTGTTCAGCTGTACTTTTTGGTGGTATAATATATTTTGGTCATGTGATGTCAGTACTTGATGGTGGCGATCCTTGGGCTTTTTCCCAGCTTCTCAGGCACTTTTGTACTCCTCACGTAGCAAGTACTGAACTAATTTTTAGAACTGAAACCTAGCATTCTTAACATGGGTGATGATGCAAATAAGGATGGATTGCAAGCTGTTTGGGTGGGCGTATGTAGACTACCGCATGTGAGTATTTGCTGTTATCACCTCTGCTCCTTGGGGAAAAAACGTAAACCTTAGAAAAGAGAAGCAGGCTGGTAAAATAGCTGTTTGGAAATCTAGCAGAGTGAATCAGGTCTAATACTACTGCCTACTTTCTCACCTAGCAACCTTAGGTGACCTTTGTTACCTGAGTGTTGAAACTTTATTGTCTGTCACTAGTGGTTCTAGCACAACTGTGGACATGTTACCTGCCTTTTCCTGGGAGGGAAAAAAAATAGAAAAACAAAAAATCTTCCTAGTATATTTCAAAAGATTAGCTCAAGAAAGGAAAACCTTCCAAGGAGAGCCCTGAGAATAAATTCCAGCAATGCAGAGATGATCTGCAGTACCAGAGATTTCTTGAAAACGCAAAAAATAAGTCCCAGCTCCAGCAGTGAAGATGGTGATGAAAGGGTACAGCTGAAAGCCTTAGAAGTCGATGCTGAGTTCTTGACTGAGTCTAGCAGAGATCTTGAGCTGCGGAAGAAGCCCCCAGGTGTGCGTGCTCGGGGGTGCAGACTGGCAGATAACGTCCCCACCAAACTTGGGAAAATGAACTGTGCCTGCCGCTCTGGTAGGAACAGGACTTGTTGCTGATAAACTGCATTCAAGGCTGTGGACCTAAGGCATTTTTTTAATGCAGTAATTTGGTTTTGTCACTCTTCAAGAAGAGACATTGCTTTTGTGTAATTGTTTCATACAGATCCAGTGAAGGTGGTGGAGTTGGGGCAGAGAGAGGGTCGTGCCAAAGAGGCTGCTGCCCTAACACTGTTCATCAGGACGCTTGTAACAAATCAAATGTGTCTTCCACCCATGGCAGTGCTTTTTGCTGGAGCCCGGGGCCGCCTTCCGGGGTGCAGAGGGAAAGGCCGGAGGTCAGGGCGAGGTGGGAACGCAGCCCCAAGAGCTTTGCGCCGGCCCGGTGGTGGGCAGCGCCGGACGGCGGAGGCCAGCGCTGGCAGGACGGGCGGTTCTGCGCCCCCAGTACCCCCTCGCTCTCGGCCGCCCTGCTCCGGTGGCAGC